ACTACGATACTTCTGACCTCTATTGCCAGACAATAATTTTTCTGACCATGATCTTCTACCGACTCCGATTCTTCTGACCTTCCTCGCTAGACAACAGACTTTCTGACCCCGATCTCTTACCTATTAGGGTCCTTCCAACCTCCATCACCAACTACAATCTTTCCAACTTCTATCCTATCGACTATGGTCCTGCCGACCAAATAAATATGTCAATGTTGATTATTGCAACTCCCACCATGTAACGTACTCTATATGATGTACATTTATGACATCAAGCCAAGGCCTTCTCCCAAGGAAGGGCCTCATTTATAATCCACTGCAAATACTAGTGGATTCATTCAAACTGGGCCAGACCCCATGGTTTTCCCCCTTTTCAGGGGTTTCCATGTAAAAATTATGGTATCTCTTATGAATGATATGCTTTCTCTTTCATCTGCTTGTGTGCTGGATCTTCGTACAATGCTAAGACGTTAATTTATATATTTGTCTACCTCTATGAATATTTCAAGATGTAACAGTTTGGCGTCGTCTATGAGAACATCATTCCTGACTGGGGATAACTATTGCTCCCAATCTCAAAAGATCGTTCATGTCAACATCCTGATATTAGCCATTGCTACATTAATTCCATATGAACCAGATGAAGACTAGGGGACAACTTTGTGTCTAATCGTGGTAAAAAATATCCTTAAATACTTTTAACATTAAGAATATATTTTAGGCAAATCCTAGCAAATTTAAGGATGCTCCCAATCAATTATAAATTTTATATAATCCCCTGTTAGACTTTTACTCTTTGGGCAAGGTCTTAATTTCGACCTCAAAAAGGGAGTAATGATCTAAAGATATACTATTATTCACCTCTTATTCAGGATAACACGGCATTCGTCCCCTCCTAATCAAGGAAAAATCAATCCCATAGGGATTAAATTTATCCTCTTCCACATAAGTTATGTCATCGAGCAGGTCTCTAACATACAACTTCGGATAGGTCAAACATACTAGGAGGATGTCAATCAAATCTTAAATCTTTGATTCGAGAAATATGCTATATTTATTGTGTCTCAATAACTAGATGATCAATCCTAGGGGGATTCAATTTTAACCTCTTCCACACAGGTTAACATCATCGAGTATGGCTCTGACATACAACTTTGAATAGGTTAAACATCCTAAGAGGATGTCAATTAAATCCAAAATCCTTGATTTGAGAAATACATAATTTTTATTATGTCTCAATAACTGGATTATCAATCCCAAGGGGATTTGATATCTACATCTTCCACGCAAGTTTACATCATTAGTAGGGCTCTGACATACAACTCTGGATAGGTCATACATTCTTATTGGATCCTCTCAACCTTTTTCATATAAGTTAACATCATCGATCAATGTTATACATTCTTGGTGGATTCTCTCGACCTCTTTCATATAGGTTAACATCATCAAGCAACACTCTTACATATAACCTCAGATAGGTCATGCATCCTTGATGGATCCTCTTGACCTCTTCCATATAAGTTAATGTCATCGAGCAATGCTCTGACATACAATATCGAATAAGTCATACATTCTTGGTAGATCCTCTCAACCTCTTTCATATAGGTTAACATCATCGAACATCACTCTGACATATAATCTCTGATTGGTCATTCATCCTTGGTGGATCCTATCGACCTCTTCCATATAAGTTAATGTCATCGAGCAGGGTTTTGACATATAACCTTAGATAGGTTATACATCCTTGATGGATCCTATCAACCTCTTTCATATAAGTTAATGTCATTGAGCAGGGCTCTGACATACAACCTCATATAGGTCATATATTCTTCATAGATCCTCTTAACCTCTTTAATATAGGTTAACGAAGTCATTTCCACCGGTCGTCGGACTATTACCCAACATCGAACTTTTTCCTATCATCAGATTTCTTCCTGATGTTGAACTTCCTACCATCACTGGACTTCTACACGTTGCTGGACTTTCGTCAGGATTCTACCCGACTCGGAACTTCTTCCGTCGTTGGACTTCTACCGGTCATGGGACTTTCGTCAAAATTCTACCTGACGCTGAACTTCTTCTCGTCGCTGGACAACTACCCACCATCGAACTTTCATTGGACTTCCACCTGACGCCAAAATTCCACCCATCGATGGACTTTTGCTTGTCACTGGACTTTCATCAGGCTTCTATTCGACATTGAATTACTACCCATCGTCGAACTACTACCCATCTCCGAACATTCATCGGACTTCTCCCTGATGTTGAATTTCTGCCCGTCGTCGATCTACTATCTGACACCGAATTTCACTAGTTGTCAGACTCGTGACGGACTTCTACCCGATGCCAAATTTCCACCCATCGATGAACTTCTGCCCATCATCAGACTTTCATCGGGCTTTTACCATACGTTGAATTACTACCCGTCACCGGACTACTACCCATCATCATACTTTCATTGGGCTTTCTCACTGACATTGAATTTCTACCTATCATTAGACTACTATCTTTCGTCGAACTCTCATTGGACTTCTACTCGACACTTAATTTCTACCCATCGTCATACTACTATTCGTTGTTGGACTCTCATCAGACTTCATCTCAATGCCAAATTTATACCCGTCACCATACTTCTACCCAACCTCAAACTTTTGTTTGATCCTAGACTTCCACCGATTAATGTCGAACCTTTGCAGAATCTCTCGAAGGAGGAGGAAACTCTTACTCAGTGAGAAGCCCTAGACCTGGATAGGGGATACAACCTGAACAAGACTAGAGGATTTCCCCAGCATGAGACAGAGAAGGAGAAGGGGGAGGAGTCTCCTTCTTGCATAGAGGGGCCCTGGGCCTAGACAAGGGATGCCGCCTATGTAGGGCCAGGGTAAGGCCTCAAATGAAAGAAGAGAGAAGGGGGAGCTGCAAAGTTTCATACCCCTTAAGGGGATATTTATAGGTGTGAGGGAGAAATTATGAAAGTTAAAAAAATATATTTTTTGGGAGGTTTCTTAAACCTCCCACTAAAAAAAAGTTAAGAGCCGCCTAAGGCGCCTCTATTTAAAAAAAAAAACTCTTAAGAAAATAAGGAAAGCGAGTCCTGCATAAAAAATGAAAAATTGAAATTACGGGTGGCACTGTAATCTCAACCCGCCTAATTATTAAAAAAAAATCAAAAAATCAAATCAAAATGGCGACTTTATTTGTAAAGCAAGTCGGCAGCCAATCGGCTTAAAAAGCTATAAAGTATATTTTCAGACTTTCAGAGCTTCGACATCTAAAAATAGGAGGGCAACTGATATATTATCAAAAAATTATATTGATCGGGCATGAATCTTGAGGGATAATCAAGTTGGATACTTCAAAAATTCAATCGAAGATCATCTGAACTCTATTTTCAGCAAACTTATTATCGAACTAAATGTCTATGAAGTATGAACCTAATGACACCAAATTCAACTCAATCCGAGCTCAAATGGGTCCAAATCAAGGACCTGAAGTTTTGTTGAAGGGTTCAAACCACAATTTGGATTGCCAATGGTTTTCAAACATAATATTCTTATAGTAGAATCAAGCGGCTCGACGAGACGAATCTAACGAGCCCAAGATCACAAAATTCCAACATCATTAAGACCTTCAAATGTCTAGTGAATGATCCATGATCAAGGGATTCAACATCAATTGTCCATCCAATCCACTCCCAATAATCCCTTGATCTTCCTCCTATTTACGGGTCATGCCACTCCATGAAATCTATAAATAGAACCTCCCTTCCTATTGAAAGGGGGGCACAAGAAAGAGAGCAAGAGAGAGAGATCGGAGATTGCTCTTGCCTCCTCGCTCCTCGACCACCGCCTGGAGTTGCGTCGGACCACCACTTGAGGCTCTGAGTTCTGTCGAACCAGCACCTGAGGCCCGGACTTCTATCGGACCACCACCTAAGATATGAACTTCTATCAGACCACCACCTGATGCCTAGAGTTCTACCGGCGTACCTCCATATTACTATGGTCTTTCTAACCCATGTTTCCTGACAAATATGGCCCTTCCGACTTCCATAGTCTACTACGGTCCTTCTAACTTCCATCGCCGAATAACGATCTTTCTGACCTCGATCTTCTGCCAACTATGATCCTTCCGACCTTCCTCGCTAGACAACGGTGTTTCTAACCCCTGTCTTCTACCGATTAGGGTCCTTCCGACCTTCGTTGCCTACTACGATCTTTCTGACTTCTGACCTATCGACTATGGTCCTGCCGACTAAAGAAACATGCCTATATTGATTATTGTAACTCTCACCACATAATGCGCTCTATATGATGTACATTTATAACATCAAGCTAAGATCTTCTCCCAAGGGCCTCATTTTTAATCGACTGCAAATACTAGTGGATTCATTCAAATTGGACCACCCCATGATTTTTCCCACTTTTCAAGGGTTTCCACGTAAAAACTCATGTCTCTAACAAATGCTACGTCATCTCTTTTATCTATTTGTGTACTGGATATTCGTACAATGCTAAGACATTAAACTATATATTTCTCTACCGCCACAAATATTCCAAGATGCAACAATAAGTGATTTTCATCTTACTTTAATATTTTATCATTTTAAAATAATATATTCAACAGAAAAAAAAATAAAATTGCCAATGACAATTCAAAGCCCGAGTGAAAAACCTTAAGGGAAGTTCAAAATAATTAAATTAAGTCACCGCTATAAGAAATTTCTGGCTTTGTCATTATAGAGAAATTAGGGCTGGCTGACCAATTTATTAAAATATACATGTATATATTTGGTGGGAGATCAAGCGCGAGGCCTACTCAAGTTTTGGAGGGGCAAAGCCCCCATGGGCCCCTCAATCCACCCCTCCGAGTATACATAAATAATATTTTTAATGTGATTTAAAGATTATGATGCCACCTAAATTTAAAAATATAAATGATAGTAAATATGTAAGAATTTAATGATATGTATAATCCCTCAACATTAACTAGAAGCACATTTGCATTTATCTCAAACATATCACACTCAGTTCATTAAAATTAAATAATAATAATAATAATAGAGAGAGAGAGAGAATCCCATCCTTTCCCATGCATGCACCAATGTTTACTTCCATCGTGCAGTTCAAACCAGCTATGTTACAAGTTAGCAGACAGAAACACAAAAGCAACAGAAAAACACTGTACTTGCAACCCTTCAACATTACAAGTTCAGAGCAAGATCAACCTGATTATCCAGTTTAAGGGACTAGGAAATACCCGAGTCTTTATCATCATCTTCTCCAATATCAGCCTCTTTCACTTCTTGAATCATCTTCAGGACTTGCCATGTGGTCGGTCTGCTTTCCGGTGAAGAACGAACACAAGCTGCAGCAACATCGACAATCATCCTCAAGCGTTCATCATCAGCCCCTTCGTCATCCCTTACCGAGCGAACCCAGGTCGGCAAATCAGTGGCAACAAGGAAATGGTGCTGCAATGGAGGCTTCCCTGTGAGGAGCTCCAGTAGAAGCACGCCGAAAGCATAAATGTCCGACCTGGGTGTCAGATGCCGATTTGATTTCCGGGTTTCAGGAGCTCTGTATCCCGAATCATTTTCAGGATCAATTGGATCAACAAGAAATGAGAGACAATTATCAGTGAGGCAGGCTTCAAAGTCCGAGCCCAGGAGCACGTTTGATGATCTGATGTTTCCATGTACTAATCTGGAGGCTTGGTGGATGTATGCAAGACCCTGAGCAACATCTTCTGCGATCTTCAAGCATGATGTCCAGTGAAGGGGCTTAGCTCTAGTGGATCTTGAACCTTCAAAGTTAAAGATACAAGAAAATGCTCATTTCTGATATTATGACTCTGAAGCCAATTTTAAAATTTACTGCAACAAATTAGACTCGGGCACCTAACACTCAAACTCTATGGACTGATCCATCTTTCGGATGCCCTCTGTTGAAAGGTCGCCCGTTTATGGAAGAAGGAATCTGTTACAGTTAAATGATATTGCATTAAATAAATCCTAATATTCTTTATGGATATGACAGTTCCCATAGTGGCATTTAACTTAAAGGGTAGAATCACATGACTGCGTCTAGGCGAACTTGGATGAAAACAATATCATCCTACTACGAGAGAATAATATTCATTGACATATTTTTCATAACGTAATCACTTACCACTTTCAATTTGATGTTCAGGTAAGTAAAAGCACTGGTAGAGAAAATATTAAGTGAAATGATCCTTAATTGACTACTTCGACTATCTAACTCTACATTATTATAAAAGTTATTATCTTCATCAAATACTAATATTCTCACATAATAGAAATGTTGACATTGATGATATGATGCTCGGTATATTTTCTTAGCATTTTTTGTTTACTTTTCATATGTTCCACGTCCACATAACTTGATCATGTTTGTAATGCTGGAAAATTGTTATATATGTTGGCTTAGTAAAAAATTGATATTATCTTCCATAAGAAATCCACTATGACCTTTTTCGACGTGAAACAAATATTTTCAACATGAGAAATCCATAAAAATCTTCTAACAAGAAAGTTTCGTGAGGCTTTCCATTATAAAATATTCAAAAAGCATATAGTATAATTTTTTGAGGAATTTTTCTAACAAAATATAACTCATAAAACCCTCCAACATAAAACAAGCCATAGAATTTTTGACATAGGAATCACAAAGCTTTTCAACATAAAACAACCCATAAGGATTTTCAATATAAAACAACTTATAACATTTTTTTTTTATCCCAAAGATAACTCATGAAGTTTTCCAATACAAAGCCATTCATGAAACTTTTCAGCATAAAATAGCTCGTAGGTCTTTCTAATCATAAAGTAAATCATGAATCTATCCGACATGAGACAAGTCATAACTCTTTTCAACATAAAACAAACCAAAGATCTTTCAAACATAAATCAAGTCACAAATCGTCTTAAAGCTCAAAGAAAACTATATAACGAAAGATATGCAACATTGTAATTGAAATATAAAATAGATGAAGTCATCTATATGATTATAAGTCTTTTCCTCAAGTGATGTCAAATATGCTTCTATGTATTTCTCATAAAATAATAATATAATGCTAACAAATGACTTTCAACATAAACAATTTCTCCCCCATCAAACTTATTTCTCATATCAAAATACGACTTTTACTCGAAGCCTTAACGCTTATATGAAATATAAATTCTCTCTCATAACATCATTCACTAAAATAGAATTTGCATGATCTTTGAAACATTAATGTTTATATGAATTTTACATCATAAAGTCACAATTCATTTGAATATTAAGCCATAGATATTCACACAAACTTCTTAATTATTCATAAATCAAAGAAATCGTGAAGATGATAGTACTAAATAGACAAAAGACAAGAGAATAATCACATTATGTCACACCGACTTTATCAAGCTATGAGAAATTCCATTTCATGTTTGTAATGTCTAGTGCAACTTTATTTTCCAAGCAGAATGGCTACTATCTTTCTCTAAAGAAAAAATCAGCAATAGAAAAATTGGGATTAAGGAGATGTCTTACTGATTTCATCCAGTGTTAATAACCATATCATTCTACATTATTGTAATAACTTTTTTTTATTTTTTATGTCATAGGTCTTGATGAATTTTCTAAATTATATCTTACTGGTTCATTTCATAGCTGTCAATGGCACAAAATAGCGCGCGCCATGGCGCACGGCGCGGCGCGGCGCACCTACGGCGCCATGTTCATGGCGAGGCGCATGTGTTTAAAATAGCGCGCGCTATTTGCGCCACATGTGAGCCATGGCGCATTGCGCACGACGCAAAATAGCGCGCCAAATTGTTTTTAAATTTTGGTATACTTATGAATATTTTTTATACCGCTCGGTATCACTAGTTACATGCTATGTACCGCTCGGTGTAACTAGGTACACGCTCGGTATCGCTAAGTACATGCATGATACCGCTCGGTACCGCTCGGTACATGCTTTGTACCACTCAGTACAGCTCGGTACAACTAGGTACACGCTCGGTATTGCTAAGTACATGAATGATACCGCTCGGTACTGCTATATAAATGCTCGGTATCGCTCGGTACATGCTCGATACTGCTAGTTATATGCTTTATATCACTCGGTATAGCTCGGCACCGCTCCCTAATTTCCATACAAACAAACCCCGCCAGGGGGCAGCGCCCCCTTGGACCCCCGGCAGCCCCCATATTATGTTTCTTGGACAATATTATGTTTCTTTTATCTAAATTTATTTGCTTTTAGGTGATCATAAAATGTCAGATTCAGTTCTTATAGGATTATGAAGTAGCGGTACCGAGGGTGATGAAGAGGATTATGAAGTAGGAGACAATGTTGAAGAAGATAATGAAGCTTTTTTAACATTTGCTGATGATGATGATCCCCAAGAAGAGTAAATTAAATTCTTATTTGATCTTTTAAAAAAAAGATTGTAGTATTTGAATTATGAGATATTTGAATGTTACTTAGTCAAACTTATATATGTTATGATAGTCTTTTATTATTATGATAGATTGTCTTTCATTTTTAATAATATTTTATATTCATACTTATTATTTTATAATTTTTATATAGCTTGCGCCATGTTCAAAATAGCGCGCGCCGCGCCGTGCGCTATGCGCCATGGCTCCAAATGGACCTTTGCGCCATGGTGCGCCATTCGCCGTTAACAGGTATGGTTCATTTACAAACTCTGACCCACTATTTTATTATTCTCCCTCACATTGTTTTGTGAGTGGGTTAATTTTTTTCTTGAAAATGATGAGCATGTTGGCTTAATCTCAAACGAATATATTCTTTCATAATTTAATATTCCTATAAAACTTTCAAGTTGTTTCAGAGCTTCAATGTTATTCGTAAATTTTCTTATTTTAATGCACTACAATTTATCCTTGGCCAATTATTCTATCATGATATTCATAATGTTATTCAAATTGTTGCAAATGTTCTTCACAAGAAAAAGAAAACGCAAGTATAATTTCTAAAGCTAAGGATTTATAAAACAACTAACTGAATTAAATGGTCTGTAATTAATAGAAACTCACATAGCCCTCCATCGGCGGAAGCATTTACTAAAAATCATGCTGGAGAGAAAAGAAGGCTAATCACGTAGAATAAGGTAAAGATAGCACCAAGGCGAATTTTTAAACCTAGTGCAAAAAGAGATTTGTATGAAAAGAGATAAAGCTCAGTTGAGTATAATAGAGTCAGTAAAAAAATATCAAAATTGTACTAAAAATCGATCAAACCCAAAGAGCAAATGAGACGAGATAAGTTAGGTCTCAATTAATATATAGAGGACCTGGTCAAATCTCTTGGAGCATAGAAAGGTTAGCCAAAGTGAGCTGCAGATATGCAATACAAAAAGAGATATTTTGCAACAAACTTTGATATGGTAGAATTTTTTTTATAAGATGTTTCCATATGCCCATGCATGACCAATGAACTTTTATTTGTAGGCAAGGATTAAGTTTAGTGTTATAGATATGGCTATATGACATAATTACATAGAAAATACATAAACGGAACACAATGTAACTAGTTGTCCATGAATGTCTAGTGATCAATTATACACACGAATTTGGAATGAGTACCAGATGCAAGTTGAGTACTTTTGGCAAGTTCATCTGACAATAATGTCTTAATTAGGACCATGAACGAGCCGATCCAAAGGGGACTTGAAATTGGATTGAAAAGGGTTGAGGATGGATCGAAAATCAAATCGTGGCTCATTTTTGTTTAATCCAAACTTGGTTCAAAATTCAATTGATCTCGAACAGGCACATTTTGATTTCAAGCTAGCTCAAACTGCATTTACTCAAATCTTAAGAATATATATTACATATTCACATGGCAACCCTTAAAATCACAGCCATTAAAACTCAATCAAACAGCTTTATAAAATAACAAAAAGATGATTTAAAGTGAAGAGGCTTCGAACTCAAGTCAAGGAGATATCAAATACCTTACAATCAACTACTCAATGAAATAAATGATATTAAAATACACTTAAACTTCTTTATATGTAAATCAAAAATTATATTTTAAAAACATATATATAATTTTTCAATCAAATTTTGAGTCTAACCAATAAAATCCAACTATGGCTCAAACTCAGATTAAAAATTAGTTTGATCTGAACTTTCAACTCATAGCTCAACTTGATTGCTTCGGGCTGCGTTCGATTCAAGTTGAAAATAGAGTTGATGTTCAAGTGATCAACGATCTTTGAGTTAAAATCTCACCCCTACCCCTAATCCGCTAGCTAGTGCTCAAGGCACAAGTTTCTAAGTTCTTAGAGTGAATACCCTTAGCTAATGAGGCACTTGGGAAAGTTTAATATCTCAGAACTAAGGACCGAGTTTGGGTTGATTTTTTAACAAGTTGACATCATTCAATTTTTGGCCACTCAAGACTTTGGATTGTTTCATACTAGGTATGTTTTGAGTTATAGACAATTCAAGCCAATTAGTAATTGAAAACATATAGCATCTGATTCATGTTCTCATAGCATTTTGATTAACCTAACAAAGAACAACATAGGTGTACATCCATTCACTGATTCTCAACGCTTTTGAGAGGTAGATGAGAACAAGAGAATAAAAATTTCAACATATACAATTTGACCTCGATGACATGATTGATTTGGAGTGTTGGCTCTACAAATAGTATGAATCATAAATCCTTGGTAAATAATAAATTTGAAGTTCATGGTTAAGTTTTAGAACCTATTTGCTTGCATTTCTGTTATTTTGCAACTATTTAAGAACTCTCATTAT